CTACACCAGAGATGACACCCAGGGACATGTCACCACATCAGAGACCTCACCACTCGCCCAGATGGCCTGAGATGTTAAAATATTCCACAATATTACCCGAATCTTTGAACAGATTCCCAGGGCCCCCGAGAGCATTGTCCTATTTTCATGATGGGACCCTTCAAGTTTGGGACAATGGCTATGGACTGGATTTCAGGCTATTGCCTGTATCATTATTATAGGATGTGCTTCTATAACCCTATTTAGATGTGTACTTTCTTGGTTACAACATGCCCTGCCCCTGACTTTTAACAGTTCTGCTGCCCAGGCTGTTAATGTCCTCACCGTGGACTCGGATGCCTCGGTATCGCAGGGTGGATTGTAGTGTAAGCCCAGATAATTGGCTTTTTTGATTGTGATGCAAGTACTTAAACTTTCGATTGCCGAGGCATCCACTTCAAAGATGGCTACATCAAATAAGCACACCGGCAGCCACACGACTAGAGAGCTAGGCCGCCCCCATGTGACGCTGCTGCTCTTAGGTTGAGGACCCCCCTTGAGAACTCCTCGTGAGTAAGTGCACTGCTCTATGGGGAACGGAGGGGAACAGCTCCTGCCCACAAAGCCCCTGATATAGTTGGAGACAGTCAAGGAAACAGGTGAGCCCAGTGGAGGTAATTAGTTTCTAACAGAGGGACATATTAGGTGCCCCCTGGGAGCACGGAGGAGGGAGCATCTAACACTCGTGGAGGCAGAGGAGGCCTGACACAACCTGAGGGGCCGCAGAATGCCAGACTGTTTACAGAGGCAGCTTAGCCCGCTGGTCACCGTCCTTGATTTCCTTTGATCACATGGAGGGAACGGTGCCCTATTAGTGGTCCATCTATTCTGTCCCGGGGTTTTCAGCCCTTCTAACCATCTCCAGAACTCTGCAGGGCAGCACCTCACTGCCGCTTATTATGGCAACTGCATCCACCTGGCCTCTGCTGTCTCAGGCTCCCAGCACGTTGCCATCAGCATCTCAGCTCTGTAGCAGCGTCTCCTACCACCCGGCCTGGCCTGGAGAGCGGAGCCATGGATGAGCTTCTTAGCCATGCTGGGGCCCCTCTCACCAGTACACTCCTTACTGCTTGGGTAGATGCGTCATCTTCTGGGCCTTTCCATGGAACAGCCATCCACTGGGCGTTCTGCCTTACATAGAGCATCCACTCTACCACGCCTACTTCTGAGCCTTATGATCCCTTCTTCCATGATCTGACACAGTAATTCTGGCATTTCTACCTCACTCAGAGTGGTCCATTGCTTGTTTCCATGCTTCTAGGAGCCATCCTTGGCACCATCCCCTGGGGTCCTGGTCAGGGTGTTAAAACCTATATCAAGGGAGAGTGCTGCCACATCAATAAACCCTCCCTTAGCCAATCTACATTCTGCCCCCCTTTACCCAGCACTCTCAGCATCCAGTCCCAGTCAGACTCACCTGGCCCCTGCCTGCATCCGCAGCTCCCTTGGGATGTGGTTTCTGGCCTCTCTTAGCAGGCCCGGCACAGCATCATGGCCAGAGTGGAGGTGGAGGCCGATGCTGAGGTGCCTGTTGTCCTGCAGGGCCCCAATTTCTTCCTAACCAGGGCCCTGACCTTGGCATGGCAGACCCGTCAAGGTTAAGAGTTGAACCTGTGGAGCTTTGCTGCTCTGGGACTACGTCCTGGACCCAGTCCCAGCTTTCTCAGCTGTGTGCCCGCAGGCGGTGCGAGCCTCTTTTGTGCTCCTAGGGAGGCTCTCTGGCTTTCACACCGAGCTTTTGATCACCTATGATCACTCTCAGCTTTTTCTTTTCCCAAAGCCTTAATCGTGCTTAGCAACAGCCAAGAAATTTCAGCGCCCTTACAGTTTCTCCCTCCCTCCATATTTCTCAACTCCTGATATGTGGAACCCACTAGAGAATTCTCTTCCACCAGAACACCATCCCAGGTCATCAGTGGTGGAGGTTTTAACAATTGCATTGTTACCTTGTGCTCCTCTACCAGCGAAGGGTCCTCATTGCTAGCCGGCAGTCGGTGGGCCACCTCTAGAATCCCATCCTAGCATCCTCTTTCGGGGCCGCACTCCTGGTCCCGGCAGTCACAGCTCAAGCTCCCCAGGGAGTAGACTCTGAGATGAAGATTAGCACGCAGGACGTTTATCAGGGGTGTTCCCGGGATCGACAGCCGGGAAGGGAAGGGAAGGGAAGGGAAGGGAAGGAATGGAGGCAGGGGCGAGCGAGGGAGAAACTGGACTTCCACACTGTCCCAAGTTTGGGTGAAAGACTGGGCCTTTAAAGACCCCACTGATCAGCCACATTTGTGGGCCACCCAGAAAGGAGGCATGACTGTGGTCAAGATGATTCTCTTCAGCTGAGGAAATTCCCAGAGAGGACTGACAGCTGAGGGCTGTCTGCTGGCGACACTCCCAGGACCTGGGGTGTAAGTCATTCCTGGGACTCATCACAGCATCCACTGGACTGTGTGTACAGGAGCTGGCTGATCAGTGACCAGGGAATGGAGAACATTCTCTTCAGACCCAATTCAGATGTTTCAGTTAAGTAGGAAGCAAGTTCATCTGCAGACAGAGAGAAGGTGGGGAGCATGTGCTGTGTCAAACATGGTCTAACTGGGAACCAGAACACGGGGAAACCTCAGCAGGGCCTGGTAAGCAGACCCTGCCCTAGGGAGGATCTGTTTGCAAACTGGGACAGACTCCCAATTAATCGTGGAACTTTGTACTTAACTATACTTTTCAGTATAACACCTAGTTGGAAAAAGTATATTAGGAACTACTTGGGTATGTAAATCTTTTTCAACTGTAATTTTTATGAAATTTAAATACAGATCAAGTATTCCTGATGATAATGTAGCATCCTGATTGAGATGTGCTGTAAGTGCAAATTACACACTGAATTTCAACGACTTAGTATGAAACAAAGAATGTAAAATATACCACACACGAAGAATTTTAAAATGTCGATTACATGTTGAAATGATAGTATTTGGATATGTTGGGTTAAAAAATATATTAAAATTAATTCACCTATTTCTTTTGACTTTTTTTAGCAAGGCTACTAGATAACTTAAAATTACCCGTGAGGTTCACGTTATATTTCTTTTGTACAGGGCTAGAAGTCAGAGGCAACGTGCAGTTTTCACATTGGCCACCAGGTGGCAACCTTACCCCGCGGTTTTCAGACTCCACTAGACCAGTGGGGGGCGGGGGTGGTGGTTGGCAGAGGGGAAGGCAGGTCTTGCTAGTTAAGCGGAAAAAATAATTTAACCAGGTTTGTGCTTGCTACTCCTTTTTAATTTTATTTTTATTTTATTTATTATTATTATTTTTTGTGAGGAAGATCAGCCCTGAGCTAACGTCCGTTGCCAACCCTCCTCTTTTTGCCTGGAAAGATTGGCCCTGGGTTAACATCCCTGCCCATCTTCCTCTACTTTATATGGGATGCCGCCTCAGCATAGCTTGACAAGCGGTGCATCGGTTCGCGGGCGGGATCTGAACCTGCAAACTCTGGGCCGCCAAAGCGGAGCGCACACTTAACCGCTGCGCCACCAGGCCAGCCCCTGCTACTCCTTTTTTATATTAACCACATCCCACAATCTTTTATATGTAAATTGTTTTGACATAATTATAAAATACATGTCACTTGCTCTCTGAGTTTCAGAATGGTCCCCCCCACCCCCACCCCACCAGCAGTGCTGGGGTTTCCTTGAAAGACTGGACTTCAAATAATATATTTTGTGTGTGTGTGTGAGGAAGATCAGCCCTGAGCTAACATCCATGCTAATCTGCCTCTTTTTGCTGAGGAAGACCAGCTCTGAGCTAACATCTATTGCCAATCCTCCTCTTTTTGCCCCCCAAAGCCCCAGTAGATGGTTGTATGTCATAGCTGCACATCCTTCTAGTTGCTGTATGTGGGAGACGGCTTCAGCGTGGCCGGAGAAGCGGTGCGTTGGTGCGCCTCCAGGATCCGAACCAGGGCCGCCAGCAGCGGAGCGCGCACACTTAACCGCTAAGCCACAGGGCCGGCCCAACAAATAATATTTTTAATCATTTACTTCAAGCCCACTCCTCTGCCTAACGCTTCTCTCGCATTTTTATTTTCTCGCTTTCACACATTCATTCTCCACATCAGGTTTAGCTATTTTGGCTTTTCTCATGTCCTTAGTAATTAAATTGTATATGTAACCTTAATGTCAACATACTATGACCCACCATCAGAACACGTAAAATTTCACCAGGCAGAGAAAGATATTAGGAAAAATATTCAAAGGGAAATGCAGAAGGGAGCCCAATTCCATTCCTACCAAGATGCCTCGTTAGTGTGAGCTCCTGGCTGCCTCCCCCAAGACCACTGTTGTAGGAACTCTAGAGGGAAACATCGAGATATGGAGAAACCTGCCAGAGGAAAGGATGGTTTGAACCAGGGTTGTGTGTGGTCATCACCGTGACTGATGGTGGAGGTTGTGGGCTTGGCTGTGGGAGGATAAAATAGGAAATGAACAGTCAGTATTCTGTCTGCTTCTCCCCCAAATCCAGTGCTTTGGGGCAATGGATGCCTGCCCCAGGCCCACCCGTGACAGCTAGTACAGGTGTCCTCGGGATAAATGGGTCGTGCAGAAACTCTGTGCAGGTGAGGAGCCAAGGAGGATAGGAAGACCACCTCCTCCACAGCCCCACCCTGCTCCTCCCAATGCCCACTCTTCAGGGCTACGGACTGCATAGCCTGGCCGAGGACTGCTGCCTTCCAGAAAGCTCTGGGCCAAGCTGGATCCAGCAGGTAGGATCTCAGTTCTACCCCAGGGTGCAGTCCTGACCAGGGAGGATGAGATGCAAAGACAGCTTCCAGAGAAGGCAGGGGTTGCCAGGGTACTTGCATCTTGGAAAGGGAGTGGTAACACCGCCCCCTGGTGGGTGACAAGGACAACTGCAGCCCCATGACCCCCTAGGCCCTCAGAGAGACACATGCAGTCAGTGCTTCTGTACAGATGCTTTTACTGGGGAGTCTCGGAGTTGGGATGGCAAGAGCCACGGGCTCAGATGGCAGCCAGGGTCTGCTGAATCCAAGGTAAGAGCGCTGTGACACGGTGTACACGGCAGGCGTGGAGGTGGAGCAGACGGAACTGCCTGTTTTGAGAGGTTCAGTGGATTCGATTGGAGACGTAAAAGAAACTTTCCACTCCAAACAAATGGACTGAATATTTTATTATATAGAGGAGGGTAAAGGCGATAGTCCACAAACAGATGCGAATAGGTCAAATAACAAGAGAGAAATGACACAAATCAATCGGAAAGGGAAACACCAGATCGACCGAGATAGAAGCAGATTCGAATAGGTCAAGTAATAAGAGGGAAAAACATCAATCAATCGGAAAGGGAAACACCAGATCGACTGAAGGGAAATAACACAAATCGACTGGAAAGAGAAACACCAGGTCGACCAAGGGATAAACATCAAATCGGTTACTCACAACATCCACACCCTTGCGCCGGGGAGAGTCCCTTCAATTGACACGGCTAGGCGTGAGTCCGATCGTCAGAGGTCCTGGGCAAGACTTCCCCTCCACAGGTGAGACTCTCACCAGGCCTCAGTTTCCAGCAGTTTATATAGCATCAGTAATCTCCAGAGTAAGCATTTGTGGAGTTTGCAGAGTAAGCATTTGGTGTTCCCATGCACAAATGGTTATCAGTTGCGTACATGCACTGAGCCCCCTGGCTATCGTCCCAGCCTGGCACAGATGGCCAGTCCATCCCAGGCTATGACACCCAAAGACTCTTATAATCTTACAAATTGCAACTATCTCTGTGGGAGAAGGGCCAGTTCCCACCACCCAGAAAGCCGCTTTATATTTCTTTGTGTGCTGGTGGCTGTAGGTTCATGGACTGGCCAAACATGGCTGTACTCATGTCAAGACGCTGCCCCAGGACACGATGCCCACCAGGGTCCAGGCTCCATCCTTCTGGCAGACCAGAGGGCCGCCAGAGTCGCCCTGAGGAGGAGAAAGGACTTGTGTCCAAGCCTGAAAGAGGGTGCCCGGGGCCCTACTGTGCCCTGACCTGGCCGAGTCCAGGGTGGTGCAGAGAAATGACAAATGTGGGCACAGGCCCTACACGAGATTCTTAGATCTGGTCGAATGGCAGCCCAGCTCCGCCACCTACTCCTTACCCTCTCACCCTGCCATGGTCTGTAAAACATCCAGCCCGCGGGGTTCGCGTGGCTTAAACACCCCTGGGAAGCCCCGCCCACACCCTGCCAGAGCGAGCGCCCGGGGGGAATCTGCTAGTGCTGGTCCAGCCTTCCGCTGGGGCACCGCTGGGGCACCGGGCAGGGAGCGGGGTTCAACAGGTCGTGGCAGAAAGGAGAGGCCCTCCTAGCCTGACCAGGGCAGGGTGGCCACCATGCAGCGGGGACGTACCATGCAGGAGGCGACGCCGCTGGCGCCAGCGCAGATCATCACGTTGGCGATCTTGGTGCCCCAGTACTTCTTGCATTCGGCGTTGGACAGGAGGGGCAGGACCGCCTGCTGCAGCCTGTCGGGGGTCTTGTTGGCTGGAGGGACAGAGGGGGTGGGGTCAGGGCCCCTCTTCCCACCCAGCCCACCCCAGGGAGGAGGCCCTGCGAGGTCCTGGTCCTTCACTGGCACGGTTACCATGGAAACCGAGCCCCGCCCCTTGCTTTAGACCTGAACAGCGTCTGTGGGACTCAGTTCCCTTCCGGTTCCACATCAGGCGGGGTGACTTTGCTTCAAGCACAGTTGTTCAAAGAAACCCTGCCCCGCTGAGCCTTGGTGCTGTGTGGTGGGCGGAGGGGCCGTGTCCACCTTTCCAGGCAAGGGGGTTCACGTCCTTCTGACTGGGGACACTGGAGGGGCCCCACCACCCTCTGCGGCTGACGAGGGAGCACCCTCCTCCTGCTGCCGTTTCGTGGCTGCTTCTGTCCCGTTCAAGGACCAGCCGGGGTGGGCCGTGGCCTGGGCAAAGGAAGTCAGGACGCTGGAGGAAGAGAGGCAGGCAGAGCGAGCAGCCGGGGAACGTGAGGCCCTGGCCGGACTCTCAGGGCCCCGAGCCAGACCTGGACATTTGACTCCCACCCCAGACTCCACGGCGAGCTGGACACCCCCCTCCTCAGGTCTGGAGAGAAGTTGGGGATGGAAGGAGGACGCTGCGGGATTCCTTACACGTTGGTGAGGGTGATACGTGCTGGTACTTAGGTGTTTCTTCAACTTACTGTTCAAGTATATCACTATTAAACCTCATTTTTATTCATGTTTGGTAGGTTTTTAATTAAGAGGGTTTTAAATAAAGAAATAGAAAGATTTATGATTGTATTGGAATTTAGACCCCCCAAAAAGAGCCATATGGATCCTACCTGGAGACTCCCGCTGCCCAGGCAGCCCCCACCCCAGACAGAGCTCCTGGGTGGAAAGGCCACGTCATGCTCACTGGTGTCCTTGGTCTTGCCCCCGCCCATGGTGACGCTCAGTGTCCCCGCGGGGAAGCCTCCATCAGCGCTGGGAAGGCAAACAGGGGACATGGTGTTTGAGAGGCAGGCGGACGAAGCACCTTCAGGAGGGCGACATCGTTGCGGTTTGTGAGTGAGCTGTAACTGCGGTTCTTGAAAACCTGGGGGTGGGGCCAGAAGGACAATGTGAGGCCCTAGGATAAATCAGCAATCTGCAGGTTTCAAGGAGAAAAACTCCTTTCCTGGCTGCCCATTCAGGGGAAACAGACCCACAGGCGCCCAGAATGAGGATTCTGAGGCCGGCCCCATCCGCACTCGGCTCCTGTCTCTCAAGCAGCCACAGGGTCTTCTTCCTCCTGCTCCCCCCGCCCCCAGCCTCTCGGCTGAGCCTCCCAGGCCTGTCCAGCAGGGCCTGGGCATACCTTGGCAATCTTCAGGACCTGGACATTCTCATGTGAGCCCTGGTCGAACTCGCTGGCCATGACCTGGTGGGAGGTCCTAGAGGAATCACATGGGGGTCAAGGACTGAACATGTGCTCTGCTCCCTGCCCCCCACTGTATCTGGAAGAGGAGCCCTGAGTCTGCCCAAGCCCTCATGTGACACTGCAGTGGGCGGCGGTGACCGCCCAGTCCTCGCTGATGAGGGAGCCCCCACAGAAGTAGAAGCCGGTGCTGGCCTGGAGGAAGATGCAGAGGTCAGCGCTGGCTGGACACCAGCAGCCCTGAGCCAGGCCAATTCCCCAGTGTGTCCCCCGCCCATGCGCAGAATCCCCCCTTGCCTGCAGGGACACCTGCCAGGGCCAGGAGCAGGGGACAGCGTCCTCCCCGTTGATGGTCCTGGACAGGCCACTCAGCATGGGGTGGACGGCAGGGACTCCGCAGCCTGGGGGCAAGGGGGAGGGTGAAGGAGGGCTGAGGCCCAGAGCCAGTCTGCTGAAATCCTGGTTTCTACCTCAGCTCAGGCCAGCACAGGGTCCCCCTGCCACACTCCCCCCACCTCTAGGAAACTCCTCCTCGCACCCCGCAACCTCTAGACTCAAGGATCCCCCAGATGCAGGCTGCTGACCCCAGTCATCCTTCCAGGATGCAGAGGGATGGGGCTGCTCCCACTCGGGGCCACCCTCCCTGAAGGAGCAGGAAACAGGCTGAGACACCAGACCACCTGGCTCACTCCAGCAGGCTGTGAGACCTCAGGCCGGACACTGAATCCCTGACGCTCATTCCCCTCAGTAAACTGGGGAGCAAACAACGCTAGCCTCACAGGTCAAATTCACCCATTACATTGATGGGGCGAGGGGCTGGAATTAAAATCGGGTACCCCCAGGTCCACGGGGAATCCGGAACTCTGACACGTTGCTGATGCGAGTGTGAAATCGTAGCTTTTCCACGGCTGTGCTCACTCATGTTGAATTCTCTACCCAGAGAAACTCATTGTACAAAGTTCTAGTTTCTTAATTACCTAACAAACGAGACTTTGATTCCACACCATAAAAGGATACATTGAGGGAACAGAAAACAAACAACTTAAATTGTCCCAGAACAATGAGAAAATACAAGTGTAGTGATATGCCCAGGATGCATTTGCCGAGTCAGGACCAGCTGAATTCTCAGCACTGGCCCCGGGTCACAGATTGGCCATGGTAGGGGAAGCTGGGTGGGTACAGCTCCTACCACCACCACCAGGTCACACAGGCCTTGCTACGGACCCAGCACCTGCCTCCCGCTGGTGGGAACAGGGAGGCGCACCAGCCCCCCGGCTGAAGATTCTTATCGCCAGAACGTATGTCATCAGCGTCATCTATTTTTTCGTAATAGCAAAAAAGCTGGAATATAAACGGCGACGTATTCGCACAGCTGAGTGCTTTACAATGACTAACTGGAACGAGCCGGGTCTCCCTATCAACAGGGATAAATCTGGAGCATTACGTGGGTGGAAAAAGGCACCTTGTAAAACTGACGTGGAGCATATACTGTTTACGTGAGTTTTCACAAATTTTATACATTGTTTATGGATTTATAAATCTGTAGTAAATTTGTAAAAACCTGCACAGACATGGTACACAGCAAGTTCAGAAGAGAGTTCACCTTCCCAGGGGAGGTGGGAGCAGGGGAGTTTAGCTGAATCTATTTTATGTTTTAAAAAGAAATACCTGGGCTGGCCCCGTGGCTT